AAGAGAAGCTTACATTTTGCTTAATAATGAATGTCAAAGATCATCATGCTCATGCCTTCGTCCAATTGAGGGATCTAGGGAAGTCACATCGGTAGCCCTCAGAAAGAAAGGTCCCTCGAACTTTATTACTAGTTACACGAGTGCTCAAATCAATACCGAAACACGTATGGAGTGCCTGGCGTGGACCACAAATTAAAGAAAGAGCCCAAGCAAGACTCCTCATATCCGCGCAAGGGATGACTTTGAATGATGAGGTGAACATGCACTTTGGGATATATGTAGTAGGATGTGCTTAAGATGAATGAGTATCTTGTGTAGAATTCAAAAGTGATTAGAGACAGCTGAATCTATTTGAAAAGTAAAAAAATAAAAAAAATCTTCACTTTGTTGCCATGAATGTTTTTTCCCACCGCATAGTGGAATATTCAAGATTCTGGGTTATATTATCTTCTCTTAATCTATACAGATTTTTCATCCAATTCATGATTAGAGCATATACACAAATTTAGCCATATGAAGTTTCATTTGACACCTATTTCATCCAAGTACATATACTACACTTAGCTTCATATCAAGGTTTACTCAACATTACTGCACTTCTGATCATAATCACTACACTTTCTGTCAACATTATTTCTCTTACCACCCATGTTATTTCCCTTTGCTGACGTCACTACCCATCTCACTATTCATGCCGGCGTTACTACTCTATGTTGTAAAACATAGATCGTGGCATCATTCATTTTTCACGAATTTATCATATCATTGCCATTATTTCATAATCGTCGACATTTTTTATAGGGGCCCACACTATAATTACAGATCTATTTGGCTCTGATACCATGTCAAAACTCATGATTCCATCTTTAAGCCCAACTTGATAAGAGGAGTAATTTGATATCTTAATATAGTACTATATTAATTCATATTTTACCGATATGGAAATACTTCATAACATCTCTCACGACCAGACATATGTCAAGATCTTGCTATCATTCATTTTTTCATTAGTTCTTCATAGTCATTTTTATTTTTCCATAATTTTCTTCATTTGTCATAGGTACCATACCATAGTTACATATTGGTTTGACTATGATACTATGTTAAGATTCAAAGTTTCATTCTAAATGATTATTCTGATAGGAAGAATAGCCTAAAATCTTAATATAATGCTTTATAGGACTATATTTCACAGTTGTAGGAAATACTTCATCAATATCACTATCTACAGTAATTCAACATCATTTATATCACCAAACTAAATTTGAATACTTTATTTTAGTATATATTATTGAAATTTTAATTTGTTGTAGTCTTTTCAGTATATATTCTTAGAAATTCATGATCAAGATTTGATCTTGAAGACCCATTAAAGTGATACTATGAACTTAATTGTGGGACAAAGACGATATATAATATGTTTTTTCTTACTAATTTGTAAAAATATAATACAATAGCGATACTCATAATGAAATAGGTATACTTACGTTGTTATCATTTTTTTATTTTTTATTTGTTTTTTAGAATAATTATTAAATAAATAATGAAAGAAGTAAGATTAGAGGGTAGATTACACTTTCTAACAATAAAATAGTATAATAACTACTCAAGTCGGCCCTTAGCTTGTCCCTATTGATTATGTTGTATCAAACAATCAAATCAAACCACACATTAAAAATAATTGCTTGTCATAGTCAAATAATCAAATTTGATTCAAAAAGGAAAAAAATGCCGATAGACCATTCAATCCTCATTGCTATGAAACTTTTAAAGTACATGTCAATTATATTATCATTATGTTATTGACCATGCCAATAGTAATTTTTCACTTAATTATTCTTAGTTTTTTTAAACATAGATATTTTTAAACTATATCTGAAATATATAATATATATCTATAAACAAAGATAACTATTCAAGTTAATTTTTTAATTAACAAGTTACTCTGCATAACATTTACAATTAAAGAAGCATTTTTCTTGCCAAGCCAATTAAAATTTTCATAGAACCGTTGTTCTTTCAACTTCTTTAAAATTTTCTGTCAGTCGACTACACATGTCTACACATTATCATTAGTCTTGTATAATGCATCATGCTTTGACTTATTAAGATAAAAAATTAAATTGTTTGATTCTACGGTTTCGGACCATCATCGTACCATAAAACAACTAATACACACTACCTTTGAATAATGACTTCTCCTATCTGAAATAGAAAGTCTTTATCAACAAAAATTGTAACTGATCCATGACAAAAAGCCGTCGCAGACCTAATATTATCAACAAAATTGTGTGATCCATGACAGAAAGTCATCGCTGATTTGGTAAGTCTTTTATCCAAATACATGTCTCATCTTAATTTAAATTTGATGATCTCGTTTCTGACACATTATTTCACTTGATGCATGCATCATTAGTTAAAGTTTTATCAAACACTGCCTTACTGAACGCTTTTTGATTTTTTTATTCAAATTCTATGAAAATATAAACACAATCATAATTCCCAACTTTGAAACAGTTTTTATGCAAACTTAAGTGAAAACATGTGGATTTAACATTTTAAAAATCAAGATTTCCATAATTTTATATCCAACGGCTACCATATAGTTATTCTTTATCTATGATACTTAAATCACTTAGTCAAAAGTTCTCTAAATGGTTATGGAACAAAACATTACATTATTGAATAATTTACCAATAAACGTCAAGATAAATTTGAAACATCAATAATTTCAAAATAATGAAAAACTTTCTAGTGTTTGATCATAATTTTCTAGACTTATGAATATTGTAGAATATTTTTGATAAGTAAGTTCTAATATATTATCTTAATATAGCCATGTGATGCAGTGGTGGATAGTTTCGAATAAGTTAAAGCTAAATAGTTGTTACGAATAAGAAAGAAAATATGAGATTTCTAACAAACGTGATAGTAAGTTGGTGAATTTTTGTGATACTTCCTCAAAGGAATACATTAAAAGGTAAATTTTAGGAAAAATTGAAAATAATAATCCCAACTATTGTCGGTCCGCTGATAATAATCTCAACTATTGATTATTTTTGTATAATCCCAACTATATGGATTGTCCGCCAATAATGGTCCATGACCAGATATTACATCCTAAAAAAGTGAATTTTAAATAGAAATTAAGTGTAAAAATTAAAATTTAGGATTATTTATAGGGATTACTTGCTATATCTCTCTTCATCCACTTTAGAAACTACAAGAATTTATTTATGGGGACCATTATTGGCGGAAAGTCCCAAAAGTTGGGATTATTATGAAATAATCGATAGTTGAGATTATTAGAAGCGGACTGCCAATAGTTGAGATTATTACAATCAATTTTTCCTAAATTTTATCATGTACAATTAATATGTGTGTAATATTATATATATATATATGTAAAAATATCAATATAAATATTTTAAGATGAACCAAATTTCATATATAATATACTTAAAGTTAACACATATGTTTTTTCTTTTAATAGCCCAGAAATACTTGATTCTGTCTATAATTTCTTGGTGCATCAAATATTACTCATATGCATAATTTGAGAAAAGGGGCAAATAAGTCCACGTACTAATCGAAAAAGGTTAAATAAGCTCTTATATGCATAATTTGAGAAAAGGAGCAAATAAGCCCACATACTAAGGCTATGTTTGGTACAATTAGCTGAAAAGATCTTTTTGTGAACTTTTTAGTAACTGTTAGCTTTTAATGACTGAAAAGATTTTAAAAGTAAAAGGTGGTAGCTGTTTGGTAAAAAGCTTACTGTTTGATTTAGTTCTGTTTGGCATACAAGCTGTTAGGATTTATTAAAGCTAAAAGTCACAGACTTTTCTCAGATGCTACTACCTGTAGCATCTCAAAAAAGAGCTTTTACTTTTTGAAAAGCTCTTAAAAATTGGCGTGCCAAACAAACAACTAACAACTTTTAGAGACTTTTTAAATAGTATAAAAGCCAAAAGCTACAGACTTATGTCAGCCAAACATAGCCTAATAAAAAATGGTCAAATAAGCTCTTAATTTAACCTTTTTTGTTAGTAATGGGCTTATTTGCCTCTTTTCCCGCATAATTTTGTTCAGTCCATATAACCCACTATATGTCTATATGGCCCTAATAAACAACCCAACGTATAAACCAACCCAACCCAACCCAACCCAATGTCTAATACGAGTAATTTTGTTCAGTCCATTATATCGCCCACAGTCCACCCTCCTCCAATCCAACACCGACAGAGATTTTATACCCGCTTTCATGGATATACCCCGACAGCCTCTTCACGGCTGTTGGGCATCACTGTTGTTTTGCTATTTCCGTTTTATCATTTAAAATAAGAAGCAAAACTCGTTCGGGAAGGACTGAAGCTTTGTTTGTAAGTGATTGTGCTTAAATAAAAGCATTTTTTGGAAAAAGTGGTTAGTAATAAAAGTTGGTAGTGTTTGGTAAAATAAGTGTTTTTTGTGTAATAAAAAAAGTAAAATATAGATTCTACACGGAAGTCGAGAAAGTAAAAATTGGTAGTGTTTGGTAAAATAAGTGCTTTTTTCTTTTAAAAAGTCACAATCACTTAAATTAAAGGAGCGTTTGGGTTTGCTTAAAAAAAGCATTTTTCAGCTTTTGATTTAAAAAAAAGTTGAAAAGAGTGTTTTCAAATGACAGCTTCTGCTTAAATTAATCACTTAAAAGCTAAAAGCTGGAAGAAGGTAGAAGAGTGCTTTAAACTGCTTCTCACTTTTTCTATTACACAAAAAGTACTTATTTTACCAAACACTACCAACTTTTACTTTTCCAGAATCACTTTTTTCTCAAACACTACCAACTTTTACTATTAATCACTTTTCCCAAAATTACTTTAAAAAAATAATTTTTTAAAGTTGAAGCAATTGCAAACACTCCTTAAGTAATTGGAAATAGAGCCTGATTCAATTTCCAAAAATTAAAAACGGTGTTTTTAAAAACGAAAACGGTATTCCAAAAGTGAGGAAATGTGGCTTCCGGAAATTAAAGCCCAAGTCCGTTTCTCGTCCGTCTCTTTCTTTTCTCCCATCTCCATAGCCGCATCTCTTTGTCTTCTCCCATACGTCTGCCTCCAAATTCCAGGTTTTGTCTTTCTCCTCTTTATAATAATCTTTGTACTATTTCCAAAGTGATAGAGTGTTGATACATACAAAATTGAATATTTGCTGTCAAATACACATGCCTGCACCATGACTTTTATTATGGTATGAATTGTGAGAATCGATGTTTATACGTATTTGTTTGTTAACAAAGTACTGAATTTCAAATTCTCAATTAATTTTGAATGAACACTAAAATGAAAACAGTTTTTAAAAAAGTGAAAATACAAAACTGAAAACAGTTTTTGGTTTTCTGAAAACATAAAACTCACAACCATACCGAACGAGCCCTAGATAAACAGATCTCATCTACTATTGTATCAGGTTCGTCGATCTTCAACAGAAAGACCCAAATTACCGAATATCTTCCATCCGTTCTGTAGCGAAATCTCCAGATAGGTATGTTTTCATATGAATTTATTAGTTTAGTGCATGTTTATGTTTCCTAATCTGTATGAAAATCGTTAGATTAAAAGATTTTTTATTTATTCGTTTTTACCTCATTGACTCAAACAGATTGTTATTCCTTAACATTTTGTTCTCACTTTACACATCTGAACTACCTATTTTACCTTATTATGAAAAACTAGTTTTCCTGCAATTAACAGCAATATTAACTAACTAATACTCCGTATGACTCAACGTTTAATCAAAACAGTATTGGACCCCCTAAATGTAATGTTCTTCGATCCTCATATCACTCAAACAAATATATGCTCGTTGTTGAATTTTTATCAACTGAAATCGAACAGGCAGTTATTCTTTACATCCTATTCTCACTATAAATACATTTCAACTAAATTAACTGGTTTACCATAACTATTGAAAAAAAACTAACATAAATACTATATGCGGAGTATGATTTTTCTATCATTAAGGAGTAAACCCATCTCACTAATTTAACTCTCCTTATTGTTCACATGCATGAACTAAATCTAATTAGAAATAGTTCTAAAATCTTGCTGTGATCTTTTTTGGAAATTCAGCTTACTCAACCTATATTTTCTAATGTTAATTTTGTATTCTATTTCTCAAAACATGCCTTCTGTTGCCAAAATTTGCCTTCTCAGTGAAACAAAAATCAACCATGAATCGAGTTAAATTTCCCATACATGTATAAGTTAAAATTTGTATGTAAGCATTGCTAATTGCTATTCACTAAAGACAAAGTTTAACTATTCAACTAAAGTAATATTTTAATCTTACCAGAGACAGAAATAGAGCTTCTCTTAACTGTGGATTTAATTAGTTTAACCATTTCTTTAACAATAAATCCAAAGTAGTTCTTTATCCTTAACTTGAAACATCTAAAAAATATTAATTATAGAAAGATTAATTTTTTTTGGTCCGTATAAGCTAATAAAATACTAGTAATAGGTTTACATAGCACTCACACATAAGATGATATTTCTCATATTGCAGACTGAAAATGAAAAAGAGGATTAGAAGAGGTAGAAGGATTGAGTTTTATTCATTTCAGAAGTGTTTGCTAGGTAGTAGTAGTTATAGGAAAATGAATGATCTTATCATAAAGAAAATACTCATGTCCAGAACAGGTTGGCGAGATTCGATTGGCTAAAAATACACTTGTACCATTGAGCAGGCTGTCGAGATTTTATTAGCTGAAAATACACCCTTCACAATGAATAGGCTGGCTAGATTTGATGGGTTGTATTTTTTTACAATTTTAATTATATTTTTATTTTATGTATATTTTGTACACATTCTCCGAGAAACAGGTTGTCGGGACTTGGAGGTGTTTGAAATTTTTTCAAAAGTGGAAGTAGAATTAGAATCATTTTTTTAGAAACTGCCCCAGCTTCTTAAAATTGCTTCTAGGAGCAATTTGGAGCATTAGAAGTACTCTTGCACCTCCACTTGAACACTCCAATATGCATCTGCTCCCTAAAAGAGCAGAAGCAATTTTAAGAAACAGATACAAACACCCCCTTGATTGGGGTTGTTTATAGTGTGTTCATTGATTAGCTTTCATCAATGTTTCTATATAATGACAATAGATTTGCTATAATGATTTTGTTCATGTGTGTGTACTTGTAATTGAGTAGGGAAATGGATGCAAATGTACCAAACCTAAAAAAGTGGATTATTTTATACCCAGTGTATATAAATTCAAAGAAGACAATCGCTGAGGGAAGGCGAATCAGTGTGAGCAAAGCTTGTGAAAACCCTACTTGTGCTGAGATTCAAGATTGTTGTAATCACCTTAAAGTCCTCAGCACTATAGAGGTCGTGTTCCTCTTCATTTTCTTCTTTGATTACTTCTAATGCTTTTGCAAGTGACTATCAGTAAAGACCCTTAGACCCCATAAACCCAAATGTGAGAGCTTCACTACTTCAATCCTTGATTATGTTCATTTTCCTCTTCTGCCTATCTTTGTATAGAATTTGATGTTCATTAAGAAAGAAAATAAACTATATTGAGTTCTCTGATATCTATGAAAATGGAATGCTCTTTTGTTGCACTGTGAATAGATCAAAGTTAATGAGCTTCTGCTGTTTCGTTAGGCATTATAACCTTAACCAGGGTCAGAATAGTAAAGAGCTTTCAAAAATCTGAAGTTTTAATCAAAAAGATTTATTCCTTCTCACTTAGCCCACATCAATCTTTCCTTCTGTCCAGCCCTGGCTAAACTCCTAACATATTCCCTGCTTTGAAATTGTGATAGATTCTTGTTTGATCAATAATGTGGTGGTTATTTGTTCTGATCAGTAGTGATTGTATATCTTGGGTTGTGTTTTTCTCAGACTGAAAAGGCATATCCACGTGACTATATGCAAAGAGGGAGAGTTAGAGTTCTACTTAAAAGGGAAGATGGGTCTTTGTATAATCTAGCTATATCTTCCAGTAAGTATATTCTTTTATATGTAATATTTTTTACCTAATCCACTGTGTTTCCAATTTCCACCATTTTCTGCAATGCCGTCCGCCTTATTTGTATGGTTGTATTTGGCTATCCACCATAATTCGTCATTCGCATCACTGATCCTCAGCATCATAATATAATTCTTAACCCATACTATATACACCAATTTTGGTTATTAAATGTTTAATATCTATTGGAAACCTATCTATTCATCTTTGATAAATGTACAAGTAAAATGAATGTGGATTCGAAGTGAGAGATGACAAATTGATACTAATAGACCATAACGTGTCTTTTGAAACAAAGAATGTTTTCTAGATCGTGTCAGGAAGAGGATTGAATTTACAATGCCCTAAGCTTCTTTGGGTTATTGCTCCACAGCTCCATGTGTATGGCTGTATGCACACACAGATATAGCTATAGTCATAGTTGGTGTCAATGATGCACAGATATGGGTACACTGCTATGCAATAGGCAAATATATGGGTATAACATTAGACAGTTTTGGAAAATCTAGGATGAGTACGGGGTTTATTTGTAAATGATGAAAAATATAGGGTTTAATCTGCAAAAAAGATCCATATCTTAAATAATAATAATAATATGGACTATAATACCAAATGTTCATAACCATGATATGATTTTAGAATTAGACTTCAGTTAAGAGTAATTAATAGCCGAATGTTAGAGAATTATTGAACTTCATTACTACACTAGTCAGTCACTTGTGACTCTTGAATATTGGTTGACGAATGCATGAAAACTGAATGCGGTGAATATTTTTATCCTAAGAGGTTAACTTAAATACATCTATCGATTTAAGGGTAATGGGTATCAGAAAGTTTTCCTTTTTGATAAATAGGGGTACTTTCTAAAAATAACATATACAGACATACAGTTCCAATACGTATAATATGTGCATCAGCATCAGAAACGTGGATACATGCAGTTATGACACCACTACTGAGCATTGGGGCATCTTAGGCTGGTGTTGTTTAGACTTTAGTAAGCACATCCTTATGGTATTGAGTTTCCCCTATCCTTCATCTTTGTGCTTTCTATAAAATTTTGTTAATTGAGATTTGAGAATGAATTCATTTGAAATCCTACTAACTAAGCTCATCCAAACTGTACGGAAACCAGTTTAATAGCCTAATAGGTAGCAGCATCTAGTAATGTAGACCCTGGATAGGGAAATAGTATGCACTTTGCTCCATGGTAGGATGATCGGTTGAGCCACTGCTAGAAGAATGCGTTCAAAACTGAGTATCTTACAAATTTTAATTGCTCAGCTCTTTAAATAATATTTATGTCCAAGGAATAAAGTGAAGAGCTCAGTTGCTTCCTATTGATTATTAAGTTGTTTTTTTACACCTTTCTCAGTCATACATATAGGTGGTCCTTGGTTCATCCAATAGGTTTCTCCCATTTATAAATCTGATTTTTCCCCATAATATGCAAAACTTCAAATTTTTAGGATCTGTTTGGATCTTGTAAAATGCTAGGAGAAGGAAGAAAAATTGATAAGGAAAATTATTGTATCCCCAAGCTTTGTTCCCAAAAGAGTTTGAAGTCGGCTAACATGAATTGACATATTATAGCGGAGTAAAAAATCCTGCGGGAAGTTCATCAAATAAAAAAGATTTATAGAAACAAACTCCTATGTTGTAGGAATTTCAAAATTAAAATCTTAAGGGTATTTAATTTGGTTGCACTCCTCCGATGCACTCATGCTTTCCTTAGCTGCAATGGTGAAAGTGTACTAATGAGTGCCTTTTTGTCTTTCAAAGGCAATGGACAAGAATCCCCATTATATTGTGAAGTCAAAACAAAACAGGCAGGACATTTCAAGGGCTTTTTGAAAAAAAAAAAAAAGCACCAAGCCCGATTGAATATGCACCATTGCCGAGAGTTCTCCAAATCTCTTGAGAGAAGGAACACTTTTTAAGCGAGGAAGACACCTCTCTGATAAAAACTTTTGATTCTCAACCCATAAAATTCTTTTTTGTTTATTGTTGAAAGTTCTGATTCAAGTATGGTTCAATTGTGATACAAAAAAAGTCTAGCCAAATATAAGTCTAGCCCAATCAAGATGAGATTGGACTGCCATAGGAAAGCCCTTCCTCGCCAGCTAACATAGAAAGAGATTCGGGGTAGAAGTGTAGGACAAGTGAGAGGGAGAGCTGACGAAAGGAACACTTTAAATACTTCAACATGAAATGTATTTTTTTTCTTGGTTAAATCTTAGGAAACTTTACATTGCAGGAAAAGAGCTGATGATGCATGTGGCAGAGTTGGTGCCTAGACATCCAAATAGGACAAAGAAGCAAGAGCCTGCATCCTCTGCAGCTGCTGGCACTTCCAAACCGGGAAAGAGTGGCAAAAAGAAGAGATAGTTCCCATTGCCAAGGAATTCCTCAATTATTTGACTGGACTCGCCTTTTTGTCTTTTTCTGCCCTTACTTAAAATATTAGTACTAATAATAGCAGTTTATAAAATGCTTACGCTGTACTTATCTTACATACACGTCAAACTCTGATGAACAGTACTTTTCAGTTTTCACCAAAAAAATGCATGCTTTTAAAAACGTACCCGCCACCCACCTCCATGTTTTCAGCTCCTCACATGGAAACAAGAAATTGAGTTTGGAATTTGGAAACAAAATTGACCTCCAATTTGATTTGGACCTTTATTAGATGGCTTTACTTTCAACTTTTTTAAAAGTTCTGGTCGTATTTCTATTTCAATTGTAGTTATTACTCCATACTAAATCATTCTTGTTATTTATATTATTATTAATATTATTATTATCATCATTATTATGAGTTGACATGGGCAATTCGTTATACTACGTAGTTTCTAGTCTCTTTCTATTGAACCCAAAAAAATGGACAATTTTTCTTTTACCTCGTTTCTTTCCTTCTATCCATCTTACCAAAGGAGCTTATATTCTTCTTTTGAATGGAACTTCAGTTCAGAAACTGTCCCAAAGTTTTCTCAACTGCGTCGAATAAGACTTGCACGAATAGAGATGGACCCGGGCCGGGTCGGTCCCGGGCCGGGCCTAGAATTGGCCGGGCCTCAGTTCAGGAAATGGGAGGCCCGGAACCGGCCCGGGTAACCCCCGGGTCCGGTTTGGGTCGGGTCACCCGCCCAGTTCACGGGCCGGGCCGCCCGCCGGGCCGGCCTTTTACTTTTTTTAAATTATATATTATATTATTATAATAATTCTTATTAAAAACAAAATTCAAGCGCATTTATTTGAAATAGGAAGTACATTTGAGAATTGAGAAAAAAATAACAATATAAAATACATTTTCTAATAAATATCAATTGGGATTTCCGCCACCGTAGGTTGTTGTTTTGCCTTTGTCACATGACTTCATATGTGTTATTGGCATCCCGACTCCATGTGAACGCCCCAATCAACACTCTTTCTTGCACCACTTGCAAGTTGCCTACCACAGTCCGGTCTTCGAGTCCTTCCACTTATCAAAGAATTAATAATATGAATGTGTATAAGTATATATTTATAAGTGGATAATTAATATATAATTAGATATACTAATTATATAAATTATATATATGTAGAAAGAATTTGGAGAAGATGAAGAATGAAGATGATTGAAATATTGAATATGAGAGATAGAGAGAATAGAGAATTAGAGAGTAGGAAAAGTTGTAGAAGAAGGGGTGTAAAAAATGTATAGAAAATAGGAATATAAATAGGTGTTTTTTGTATACCCCACCCCCCTAACCCTCAGACCCCCCCTCCTATGCTCCCAACGGCTATAGAGCCGTTTGGGAACACTCCCAACGGCTATAGAGCCGTTTGGGAACACTCCCAACGGCTATAGAGCCTTTAACAATTTAAAAAAAAAAAATTAAAAAATGACCGTTGAGGCCCGGACCGGGCCCGGCCCGGCCGGGCCGGTTCACTAAATAGCAGGCCCGGGCCCGGACCGCTATCTCACCGGGCCGGGTGGCCCGAACCAGGCACTAACCAGTTCACCGGGCCGGTCCGGGCCCGCACAGTAGCGGGCTAGTCCGGTTCCGGGCCGTTTGGCCCGACCCGAGTCCATCCCAATGCACGAATACCTTTTCATAATGGGTATCTCGTGTGTCAAGTATTTTTGGCCTTTTGGGACGATGAAGGTGGCTCATGATTCCACAAGATTATATTTGCGTTAATTAAAATATGCTCTAGACATTATTCACATTATATTGTTTTATTAGTAGTAGGGTGTCATGGACTCGTGAGCATGTACGTTTGTCGTCCCGCATGAACAACACAATAGCTTGGTCCCAAATTCCTTTAATCCGTTGTTAAACGGAGACATGGACTGATGGATTCTCATTGGGCAGTCCCGCAGTTACGATGTTTTCTTTTGGACTGTTTTCAGTCCCAGATCAGATCAGACCAGACTTAAACAGAACAGACCAGACCAGACTTAAACAGAACAGACCAGACTTGGATAGTTATAAAATACACAGAGACCAGACGTTTACCATACCAGACCAAACTTAAACAGACCAGACTAGACCAAATCAGACCAGACCAGCAAATTTCAATCCAAAAGAAAACATCCTTAGACTACTTATTTGTCACACTTATGGTGGACTCGGGTTGGGCCGCCCGGCCCGGAACCAGCACTATTTGGAACCGGCCCGGCCCGGTGGCCCGGTCGAGACCGGTTCAGTTAGGCCTGGCTCGGGGGTTAAGTTGGGAGGCCTCGGGTCACCCAAATTAGGAAACGGCCCGGCCGGGCCAGGGCCGGTTCAGGCTTTTTATTTTTATTTTTTGTTTTTCATTTTCACAGGTTGGGCTGGGTGTTTTGGGGTGGGGGGGGGGGTTGGGGGTTAATTAGAAAAGCAAAAAAAAAGAATCGGCTCGAGGCCCGGCCCGGCCCGGACCCGGTGGATAACCGGGCCGGTTCCGGGCCTCAATTATCTTCCAAAAAGCCCGGTCAGGCCCGGCCCGGGCCCGGTCCATGCCTAGTCACACTTTCGGGGTATATTTTGTTCCCGTTCGGGGACACTAACACATGGCTCTCGGGCGGTTGTTATGATTGTTACTATTACTGTGTGTTTCTATTTTATGGGTTTATTATTACCCATCTGAAAACCGTGTTTATGATCTGCTTAGCTCATATTAATATCCTAATTCCTAACCAACTGAAACTACTTGCATTTGGAAATTGAATGCTTCAAGGAGCCTACTATACAGATTTGTTTAATACGCTAAGGAGTTTTTACAATTGCGGGCATCGCAAGCTCCATGGAAAATGTATGAGTGCCGTTTTCTGATGCATGTTTTACAAAAAATGGATAGTAGTTGCTTGATCATATTGTGCTGTTATATGGAGTTTTAATTTTTAATCTTGGTCCTCTCATAATAATCACTAAATGCTTATTTTCATTCCTTATTTATATCCGTTCGAGTATTTTTCCATATTTCCATTGCCTTTTTCCTAATTTTCCCATCTTTTTTCATGCATTTATCCCTTCAAACCGTTTTCACATGAAGTGACACATAATTCATAAAATCCGTGTACATTAAATGGGTGAGACAAGTATTTCTTGTCATAGGTTCAAATCTTCCAAGGAGACCTTTGATGGAACAATTATAATATTGAAGCTATATGTGGTAGTGCATGTTGAAGACTCAATAATATTGAATTTATTTAGCTCAACAAAAGTTTAACTACAGTGAGGTTTTTTTAACCGAGAGTTTTGAGCATTAAGATGAATATTAGCTGCAGCGGTGAATTATGTTATTATACTCGTGAGATGAGAAACAATCCTCTCCTTAATAGCACTACAATCCTCTCCTTAATAGCACTACAATTGCCCAAAACAAGTTCCCGCTCACCTTAACTTTTCACCGCATCCATCCGATTCTAATCAACGGAATCAACGGTTTCCAGCTTTCACCTCTTCCTTTCATTTCATTTAGCCCTTCAAATTCTCTTCTCGGTTCCTTATACGGAGTACCTTTTATTCTATTCCTTGCATCTTTCTTTCTTCTCAAATCCTCTCCTTAATAGCACTACAATTGCCCAAAACAAGTTCCCGCTCACCTTAACTTTTCACCGCATCCATCCGATTCTAATCAACGGAATCAACGGTTTCCAGCTTTCACCTCTTCCTTTCATTTCATTTAGCCCTTCAAATTCTCTTCTCGGTTCCTTATACGGAGTACCTTTTATTCTATTCCTTGCATCTTTCTTTCTTCTCAAATCATTCAGAAAAAGGAGATGATTATTATCTCACCGAAATCATCTACACAAGTCATCTACACAAGTCATTTGAAAAACGAAAATGACTATTCCTTCCTGCAGATTTGTTCTTCTTCTACCAGAATCATCCGAAGTCCACCTGATTCAAACTGAATTTGAGGTAAACTATTCTTCTTAATCATATAATCCATCTATTATTTAAAACTGAATTTCAATTTGCTAGGTTTATATCACTTAGAACGTTCTAACAATTTTTGTAAGGAAGATGTTTGCTAAAATTCCTCAATCACGTATTTTTTTCAACAATTATTTTTCCATTCTTGAAATTACATATTGACATTAGGTAATATAATCGTTGTTTCATCCTTTTTTGAGTTTTTCATTGGTGAAGTTATTAAGTAAAAGCAATCCATGATGAAGTTATTTTGCAAAACCAAGATAATTGCTTTCTCAGGTGAATTCAATTAACTCCTCCCTCTGGTGAGTAAAGAAGTAAGAAGCACCGTGAATCGAAGGGAAAATGATCGTTTTCAAATGAACCTGGTAAGTTTTGAGTTCCACTTTTATTGTTTTATTCGATCAAGCTCCAGTTTCAAAGTTTATTAGTATCTTTGATTTTAGTTAGATTTATTGGAAATATAGTTTTCAAATAAACTAATCTCCCAAATCTTTTATTTTCTGAATTCCAATATTCTAGGGAGCAATGTAGTTTGGTGTTGAACACTTGAATGAACAAAAAATAATACTTTGGAGTAGCTTTCTGCACATTGTGACAAATATTTACTGAAAAACTAAGGCAAAATAGGAGCACTTTTAATAACTGAAAACGGTATCTTTATTTTTCTGTCATGTAAGTTCATGTCATAAAAGTATGAATAACAGTCTATGAAAAATATCTTTATATAAGTTCATTATTCTATTTCACATCATCTTTCTTCTTTAGCCAAAGTTCATAGCTCACAACTATAATATAATGAATTATACTGAGATGTTTGCTCTCATAAACTTGCATCCCTTTTTGGTCAAACTTTGGTAGTGAGAACTTGATTCATGCCTCCTATCTAAGAAAGATTTACCTTCTAGCTGTAGTTTTGTTTTTCTTAAATAATACGAAGTATCTCTTAAGTGACTGTCACAGTGTCACTATTTGTGTCTATTTGCCTATAGATTTATGAAGGCCAATTCTTTACGTTGAACATTGATTTTGGAATGACAATATATAATTTTTTTTACTTATCCAAGAAACAACTGTGATCTGTTCTGTTCTAAATACGTTAAGATAAGTAGTTTCCTTCTAATTTTGTTAGCTCCACGTGCGTCTCTTCTCAAAACTTCCATGTTTTGAATCAAACTGGTCTGACCTGAATGATGACCTATTGGATTTGAAGTACCTTTCACTGTTTTGATAAATTTAATTTGAAGTACCACCCTTTTGGTCAAAGTAACTTCAATGAGTTTTTTCTGAAGCAGGATAATCTTATCTTTTTTATAAGATAATTCTGCAATATAAATACTCACAAAGATTCATTATTTTTTGGCTTGAGAATATGATGGAATAAAGCAAAATGGCTCACTAAATTGTCTGCGCTTC